GTTTCTGTGGAGAGTGCGCCTTCTGGCTTGGGGCCGTCCCCAGCCCAGATCGTTGGCGCTCTGCCCGGAAAACCGGACATTGCTGCTATGCCTATCGTGGCCGACCGCGTGAAGCTCCCAGCGTGCCCGACCTTTGTGGCCTCACCTTATATGGACCGCACGACCGCGGACTTCTTTGAAAATCCGCTGCACCACGCCAGGGTTCCCGACCCTGCTGCCGAACGGCCTCCTTTCGTGAAGATACTGGCCGACTCCCGGCAGAAGCTTTTGTTGTTGCAAGCTTTGGCCCGTTCTGGGCGACTCGAGCCCCTGAGCTCTGTGCCCCGTGAGCGTGAGGATTGGGGCGCGGGCCTCTTCGCAGTTGCCAAGGATGGTGCCAGGGATCGCTTGGTGCTAGACGCACGACCAGCTAACGAGCTCGAAAACTTTCCTGGCAGGTGGGTGCACACGCTTGCTAGTGCAGCTTGCCTCGGGTGTTTGAATTTGCGGCCAGACGAGGTGCTTATAATGTGTGGCACCGACCTGCAAGATTGCTTCTATCAGTTCAAGGCGACACCAGAAAGGCTTGTTCGAAATCACCTTGCGTGCAAACTGACCCTCAGTGAAGCTGCCTTTGTGTTCGGGCGACCCGCTGACTCCTTCCAGGCTCCTGGCGGCTTCGTTTGGTGCGGGCTCTCATCCCTGGCAATGGGTGACAGTTCAGCGTGCGAGTTCGCACAGTGCAGCCACCTGGGCGTTTTGGCTCAGGCCAGAGTTGTGCATGCCGGTGAGCTCTTGGTGCAAGCAGCCGCCCCTCCAAGGGGCTTGCTGTCTGTCGGCCTCGTCATCGACGATTTGATAGTGTTGCAAAGGTGCCTCGCTTCTCAGCTCCCGTTCTTTGCTGAGAACCCAGGTAGGTCGGAAGCCTCCACACGGCTGCGAAGGGCGCTGGCTGGTTACGACTCAGCTCGGCTCAGGTACAGTGACAAGAAGACGTTTGAGGACAAAACCCAGGCTTCCTTTTGGGGGGTCGACTGTTGCGGAGTCTCCGGGCTCATTCGAGCCAACCCTGCTCGGTACTGGCCCTTGGTGCTGATCACCGTGCGAGTGCTTCAGTTGGGTCTTGCAACCAGGAGTTTGCTTGAAAGCCTGCTCGGCTCTTGGGTTTCAGTCTTCATGTTGCGCCGGCGCATGCTTAGCTTGGTGGAGTTGTGCTTCGCTGCTGTGCGCGGTGGGACGGCCCAGTCGATCCTCCGCTTGAGCCCTGAGCTGAAAGCTGAGCTTGCTTCCTTCGTGTGCTTGGGCCACCTGGCAGTGGTAGACTTGCGAGCCCAGCCGCTCACTACTGTCATCGCCTCTGATGCTTCAAGCTCCTGGCAGGCAGCGGTCTCGGCTGAAGTTGCTCAGCCCGTCGTTGAGGAGTTCCAGCGACACTCGCTTCAACGAGGCGCGTGGACAAAGCTGCTCGCACCGCCCAGTGCTTGGCTCAAGGAGCATAACCTTCTGCAGCCCGAGGCCGAGCTTCCGGGTGACTTCGAGTTCGTTGCAAACCCCGTCGCCGAGTGCCTTGCTAGAGTTCCGCAGTACAAGACTCGTTGGCGGCGCCAGTACACACGTCGCATGCATATCAACGTCGCCGAGCTCGGCGCATACCTTCACGAGGAGGCCAGGCTAGCCGGTAGGGTGCTCTCTGGTCGTCCCCTTTGCGCCCTCGACTCTCAAGTTTGCCTCGGCGCGTTGGTGAAAGGAAGATCTGCCTCGTGGATTTTGAACCGCAGGCTGCGTGCATCGCTTGCCCCGCTTTTGGGCTCGCGGCTTTTTCCTTCCTTTCTGTTCTTCCCTTCGGCTCTCAACCCAGCCGACGACCCGACCAGACATGCAGAGGTACGTGCTCCCTCCATGCTGAAGCCTGCCTGGTGGATTTCGCTTGAAAAGGGTGAGGTTGGGCCGTTTGAAGCTTTCCTTGCTGCTCGGCCGCCCAAGGTTCAAGGTTCGGAGGCTTTTGAGCAGGACGACCTGCTTCTGCTTGGCGGGTCCAGGCCGGCCGTGGTCCAGTCGAACAGAGAGAGAGGTCTTTCGAGTGTGCTTGTTCGGTCCCGGAGGCGCGCCACCAGGTCAGAGGTCTCCAGGCCGAGGTTCGTGCAGCATGCGGTGTGCTACAACGACGCTTCGGGCGCCGACGCTCCTTCGTGGCTTCCCGGTTTGCAAGCCTTTCCCGTAAGGTAATTCCTCTGCGGTGCGAAGAGGCCGCTGGACTTGGCCGTGCCTGGGGTTCTGGAGCTTTCGCCTGCGCGGCGCTCGATTTCCCGCGCTTAGCTTAGGTATGGGGCCCCTTGGGTGCTGACTTTCGACTCGCAGCGCTCTGCTGCAGAAGACTTGAGCTCTGTGGACTTACGAGCTCGGCTGGAGGCCTTGCTGTTGTCCGGTGCCTTTGCGGCCGTCGGCGGTTTGCCTTCGGCTTCCTCTTTCTCCCGGGCTATACGCCCTCCCGTGTGCTCCAGAAGCCACCCTTTGGGCTTGTGGGACCTGTCTCCTTTCGTGCGTGCAAAAGTCCTTGCAGACAACTTTCTCGCTGAGTGGTTCTTGCATATCCGAAACTTGTGCGATAAGCTTCAGGTGGTGTACTGGGTTGGGCAGCCGGACACTTCGCTGTGGTGGCTCTTGCCTGGTTGGGAGGATGAGGCGTGGGCACACTCCGCCGCTACCTTTCGGGTGGATATGTGCCAGTTTGGGTGCCGGTGGAGGAAGCGCACGCGTGTCGCGACCAACTGCTCCCTCGGTGGTGCGCGGCTGCTTTGCAAAACCCCTGTCAGACATCTTCGCCTGGCCGGTCACTCCTCCTCTTCTCGGCTTCCTTGGACTTCTCTTGCCGACACGGTGCCTGCAGGTTTCGCCGATGCCTTGGCCGTTGGGTTGTGTGCAGCTGCTCAGTGGACTTCTGTTCGTCCTCTCGACCCTGCCGCGTGTGCCAAGCTCGGGTGCCTTTGCCGCGTTGGTGAAGCGAAGAATCCCGGGCCCCGTCGCCGTGCTACCAACCGCACCGGGGACCTCGAGTCTCGTCCTCTTCAGTCCGGTGCTTCGCTGTTCCTCGGCTCCTCCGCCTGGTCGGCCTTTCTGCGTTGGGTTTCCCCTTCTCTGTCTGTCGACCCGGTCAGTCTCTTCGTCGTATGTCCTCTTTTAGCTGCCATGGCCCTGCGAGCTTATGGAAATGAGCTCTTTCAAGCTGGTGGCTCGAAGCACACCTTCAGGTACACTCTGGTTGGTGCTCAAAGAGCGATTATTTCGCTGAAGGGCTCCCTGGGGCCTGCCTGGGAATTACTGTCAAGGTGGGAAGCGGTGGAACCTGTTATACACAGGACGCCAGTGCCCGAGCCGCTGCTTTTGGCGATGGTGACTCTTGCTTGGCTGAGAGGCTATAAGCGCTGGTGTGGCTGTGCGCTGCTGGCCTTCTACGGTATGGCCAGAGTTGGTGAAGTCCTAGCCTGCCAACGACGACACCTTCTGCTCCCTGAGGACCTCTTCTTGTTCTGCCCCGCGGTCTTTCTGCGCCTCGACTCGTCGAAGACGTCGTTGCGCGGAAGGCCCAAAGTGCAGCACATACGCGTCGACGACGTCCGTGCCATGGCTTTGATACAGACCGCTTTCGCCGACCTTGAGCCCAACGAACGGTTGTACCCTTTCAGCCCAAGTGCTTTCCGCACCAGGTGGGACCGCTCGCTACAAACCCTGGGTTTGCAAGGCTTGGTGGCTGTGACGCCAGGCGGGCTCAGAGGTGGAGGGGCCGTTGCGGCCTACCATCGCGGATGTCCGATCTCGGACATCCAATGGAAGCTTCGTTTAAAGCACATGGCTACACTCGAGCACTACCTTCAGGAGGTGGCCGCCTTGAGTGCCCTTGAAGGCGCCACCGAGGATGCGAGAACCACTTTGCGTACAGTTCTGCAGCTTTTTCCTTTTCAGGCTTAAGAGTTGGGCGCGCCGACTGCAGTCTTTGGACCCTGGTGCAGTGGACACTCGTCTGCTGCCCTACGTTGCAGACCGGTTCTAGCAAGTCGTGGAAGAGCAACTGTGGCTGCGAAAAGCTCCACCTTTTGTGCTGCAGCTTGTGCTAAAGCACACCTCTCAGTGGCGGCTTTGCTCGGCTGCTCCTTTCGCAAAGCGCGAGACACACTGCTTTACAACCGGCGGCAGAGCCAAAAAGACCGAGGCGAGGGAGCTTTCAAACATGTTAAATTTCCACTCTTTCCTCGATCAAGCAAAAGCACACGGATCTTTTCACTGGGGCGAGATGACGGGCGGTCTAGATTTGGACTCACTCTTTGCGTTCGAGAAAAAGAGAGAGAGAGAGAGAGAGAAAACCTGGAGTTCGGGTTTATCTGAACCTGTTGACTTTGGTTTAGGGTTAGAGTCCCTCGAACTCCAGTTTAGGGTTTGAGTTCCTCCAACCCAGGTTCGGGTTCTTCTGCTCCCTCCCTCAATCTGGTTTGTTTTTCATTCCCGGCTTTAAATGGTTGACGGCGTGTTTTAAGTTTGGGTTTCATTGAATGTGTTTTAGACCCAGCTTTGCTTAGACAGCGAAACGTTTGCCGCTTGTGTTTGGCAAAGAAGCGAGCGCGTTTGCAACGTGCCTTTTTGCCAACAGTTCAGAGTGTTGCATTTTTAAAACCCGACACCGGAGACGTGCGGCTGCTTCTTCTTCTTTTTTGTGAAGCTTATCTTCTTGTTTGTGAAGCCTAACGGGGGTTTTCTTCTTGTTTGTGAAGCTTAACGGGGTTTTCTTTTGCATATGATTTCAAGTACCGCATTCACAACGGCGAAGATGCATGGCTTCTCATTAGTTGCTAAAGAGAACGTGAAGGGAGGGTTTATTGCAGGTGGATTTGGGTAAGTTAGGATCGAGTGCGCCCCCCCTAAACCCAACATGCTGGGGTAGGGTTGGGGTTAACCCGAACCCAGACTAGAATTTTTGTGCGGGTTAGGGTGGGCTTGAGGTTAGGTTGGTGTGAAGCCCAACCCTATCTTCAAGGTTCTGGCGGTTTGGCCCCCCGACCCCCCGCCCTACCCGCGAGGTTGCAGCACTGTGCAACCCTGTGGGATAGGCTCCTTCATGGTTGACTGGCACTGTTGATTTTATATGGTTTAGTGCTTGGCTCTTGATATGGTTGATTGGATGGCTAGTGGTTGGTCCATGCTCAAAGGTGCAAAACGATTGCTGGAAAAAGGTTATCGTTTAGTGTCTCAAACGAGAAGGATTGGCTGACTGTTGTTCATGCTACTTCCTGGCCAGTATCCGGGGCTCAAGCTATTCGCGGGATCAAACCAGCTTTCAAGGTTCGGGTTCAGCGTAACGTCTGTTGTTGTCCGCAGCGTGCACACGTCTGTACTGTCTTATGACACTCTGCAACTGTGGTAGTCTCGGGGCAAGACGACATGGTTCTCGTGCAGCTTTTCACCCCCGTCGCCCTGGCTTGGGGCGACATTCACGTGTTCAAACTCCTGCAATGAAGCGACCTTCGAGGTTTTGCTCCCAAAGCTCATGCAGAGCACCTCATGGGCCGGTCTTACGAAACAGCAGTTTGCGTTACATGCAAACTTTGTAGCAGCATGCGAGGACACAGGCCTGCCAATCGATCATGCCGAGAGTTGCCTGATTTCGCTGAGCTCCCATTGTGAACAATGTTGTTGAAAGGCAGAGAGGCCTTCCCGAGTTAGCACTTGCCTTTAGTCCTTCTTCCGGACCTATGTCACCAAGTTTGACGTCCGATTTTTAATTCTAGCCATCTCGTGTCACAAATGGAAAAAACATGTTGCGGATATTGTTGGCATAGTATGAAGCGACAAATTGAAAGCAGTGAAAATGCGTGAGTGCATTTTTGGATTTGTATGTTTTCGTGCGAGAGGGTTTCATTGCGAACTGTCAGATAAGTGGACTACGACAGTGGTAGTACAGCGTTGCTTCAGCAGCTTGGAGGCAATGACTCAACTTCTGGGGTCTAGAGACATGTTGTTTCGAACACAGCTTCGGATCAAAGCAGATGTTGACCAGACTTTTCCGAGAGTGTTGATGGCTGGCAGATATGTCAATGAGGCGAACCCACCACGTGATGAAGCGAGTCCTGCATGACTATTTCCATGCAGGACACTGTGGAATCTGAACGTCCTCTGAAAGTGTGTGCGGAGGAGCGGTGTTTCTTGAAATGAGCATTCTGACGGACGTTTGTTTGGCGTGAGTGCATGCGAGGCTGGTAGAAAATGCGTGCGGAACATACACCAGTATCCAGTCCTATCTGCTGAGTCTCTTGGTGGCACGGTCAGTCGAACATTGAAATGCACGTCGCTTGAAGTATGGCGTTGATATGAAGGTGGATTGCCCTGGTGGATTCCTTGAAGCAGTTGTCTAGACTGGTGGCGGACTCGGGTGTGTGAACGGGTGGATGCGGAGCTATGTCTGAACAAGGTGCAGCTGGAAGGCCGAATGCCTGTCAATCCGAAGGCTCCTTGAGCATCTTTTAGATCTCTGCTTGCCTTTTGCGTGCTGATGGAGCAGGTTCTGGAGGCTCAGGGACGTGACATGGACTCAGAAGGAACTCTATGGGACCAGGACACTGCCTCGTTTTGTTGGAAGTTTTTTTGTCCAACACGCTTTTGCCTTGCCGTGCCGATGTCGATCCCGAGGAGACACATGAAAATGCGATTCGCATTTTGGTCGAGGAAGCCAAAGTCAACCTGTGCCTCAGGAGTGTCGGCATGCACACCAGATAGTTGCCTGTCCTGCGACTACCATCTCTTCATGTATGTCAGGATGATGTATGACTTCAAGAGATGGCAGCAAAATCCAGCAGAGAGGCAGGCGACGATCGAGGAGGCTATCAAGGCAGAGACGGCCGGCATAAACATGTTTGCCGACTCTTGTTCAACAGGTGCTAAACGCCTGTCAATGATGCATGATGCCCATAGACATCGCTGGTGTCAGGCTTATGACTCTACAGAGATGCAGCTGGAGCAGAAATGCGTCCAATTTGAGGACATCTTGCGTTCTCCATGTCCTATGATTTGTCCAAAGCGATTCCAACTGCTGTAAGGAGTGTTTGGGCACCCTTCTCCGGAAGGCGTTCATGCACGTAGCCGTCCTATTGCGCGATCTTCGGTCGTGCTGCTGTACTTGTGAGGGGTAGTTGTTGTAAGGTTGAAACTTTGCAGCTCATGGACATTCCACTTCTCATTGAGCATTGTGTCACAGCCTCAGCTGCGACTTTTTCTCGGTTGGTGTTCTGAGCTTCCGAGGTCTTCATCCTACAGGCTTGCTTCAGTTCGCTCGGTGACAGCCTGGGGGAAGCCCGCCTCCAAGAGTCCGTGGTCCTGTGCCCCGGTTCTTGATTCTTTTGGTCCACCTGTGCTGCAAGTGGTTCTGTGGCAGCATTTCTGACACTCTGACTGGTGGCAGGTATTACTTTAGCTCCTTGATGAAGCATGCAGAGGCGGGGTCAATTGACAGCTTCCGATCTCGTCATGGCGGTCCGCCTCACGCAAGACTGCCAGGCCTTAAACAACTCGGAGCTCCTGGCGCGGAGCCGTGAGTTCCAGTTGGTGGAGCTGGCCGTGAGCCACTTCCTCCGCTTTGCAGAGCAGTGCCTCGGCTTAGAAAAGAGGAGCCTTCTTCTTTTGCCTGTGAAGGGCTCACGCTGCTGCTTCTGGCGCAGGTTTCCCGAGGACTTGAAGTACAGCCTCGCAGACGGGCTCGCTGTCGGCCTCTAAGTTTTTGGATGTTCCCGGGCTTCTTGTGGTCCCGAAGTACTGCTTTCCCCCAAGTACTGGCGGGTAACGGGCAATGCAACCACGCACAATCCCCACAGAGGGTTACGAAGTTTGAAGGCGGACACTCAAAATTCCCGCAGAGGTTTTGTTTTGAAGCATGCGAAGTGCTTTCCCCTAAATACTGGTGGATTCGGCAGCGATACCGAAATGCTTTCGCCCGAGTAATGGCCGGCAACTCGACAACCCGAAGCGGACAATCCCTTGTAAAACACGACCCTGGCCCAATGTCGCTTTAACATCTTGATTGCGTTGCTGTGTGTTGAAGTGTTCGAGAAGGCCATGGCCGACAATGAGGACTTTATGTTCTAGGCTTAGACCAACAGTTTTTTCTGGCGCTGAGCACAATGAATTCCTGCCACATCTCCAAGCTAAGGACCGAATGGGAGTCATTCTTCCCAAGTCCTGATGTGCCCACCTCAGCACGGCAAGAGAGAGTTTCTAAAGACAGAGAATGCAACGAGAATTCTATTGGATGAGGCAAAAGCAACCTTCCTAATGCTGCAAGAAAAGCTGACAGCTCCGATTTTGGAGGCACCTATGTCACGTCCTTTTGCTGAAAGGTTCGGTGCACTCTGCCAGTGTCGATCCGTGATCTTGAGGAAAAGCCGGAGAAACGACGGGAAATCAGACCTTTGCTGGACTTCTTCAATGCCATCAAGCGCTCCATGCGCCTTGCATGGAAGGAGCCCCCCTTGACCAGAAGATCTTTTGCTTTAGCAGCATCCAGGGCATGGAAGTTGCAGGTTTTCTTCTACCTTCATGTTGCGGACACTGCAGAATCATACATGAGTTTTGAAGACCTAAGCCTCGATGGCCTATGTCAATGTCCTATCAGATGAGGTGAGGGTCAGCGGCTGGTCATTGCGAGGACGTGTGGGTGTCAGAAAGCCTCAGCCGAAGCAGCTCTCGTGACAGTGAGGTTCACAAGCCGCAAGATGGGTCTGTGCAAATCCGTGTGACGCGCGTCTGTCCGATGACTCACAGGACCGTCGAAGCTGGAAAAGCTGCCAGCACTGTGCATAGACGATTCGCTGTTTTGGCCGAGGAGGAGGTCTGCCAAAGATGCAAGAGACAGTGTGTTGGAGTGTGTTGCCTTTGCCGTCAGTCTGCCCAAGAACCGGCTTAGTACTTGCTTGCCAGGACGTCATCGAGCTGAGGTGTAGTCAGATAGGATAGTTTGCAGCAGTTCCAGTGCTAAAAGCACACTGCGAAAAGACCTAGCGCCAACAACATCGACAAAGTGTACGAAGCTTGATACGGTCCTGCATATCTGGTCTCTGCTAAGTAAACTTGGCAATGTCGGTCGACACAACTGCCGTCCACAGCTCAAGCGTTTGCAAGCATGAATGTTTTTTGTCATATCCACGGATGCTTGCCTCAGAGGCGTAACAGAAGTGCCTCCACTACCACAAAGTCTAGTCAGCCTAGTCTAGTGTTGCTCCGTTTCATGGTGTCCGGGCGTTTTGACGCCCATGACCCGCCATGAGCGTCCTCGGTTGCCGTGCCCACAGGAGCCGAGCCGCCTTCGTGAGTCTGTAGAGCCTGGAGAACTCCCACGCCTGAGATTGGCATCGGCAGTTCTCCTTGCCGGAATACTGTTACAACCTCAGATTCTCTTGTCGGACACCCCGCAAGGTTCAGCGAGAGTCGTTCCTTGCAGCAAGTCGAGCTTTCCGTGAAGTAGCAGTCTTCGTTGGCATGTTCGGGTCACGGGTGAAGAGCAATGTTTCTAAACTTCCGATCTAAGAAGTGCTGGTCTTGCGCTCTTGGCAGACGGCATGACTCTGCCCGATTGGGCCGAATTTGTCCGAGGCCATGCGCCTCTCAGCGTGCTTTCAAGATCAGCAGCAGCGCGTCAGAGTCTTAGAGTTCCTTGAAATTCTCATGATGGGAGGTTTCACAGAGGTTGCGCATTTTGAGGTGTACTTTGACTGCTTCCGCTTCAAGCTGTCAGGCGTTTGTTCATTGTCGTGGCTCCTCTAAGGTTTTACTGTTGTCCTTGATCATCTCAGCAAACAACGTCAGGTAGCAGCTGCGGGTGACGCAGCTCTGCAGATTGTTTTCAATGCCAATGCTGCGACAGCTCTGACATTGGACATGCCGGCGACTCTGGGCGGCAATAAACAGATCTTTCTGTTGGGGCCGTCGTCTCAGGTCTTCTACAACAACCTGCAGCGCATCTGGAATAGTCTGTCCGCAGGTCTGAGGGCGTGGTTTGATATTCCATTTCAATCAGCAGCTTGGTTGTTGGAAGGTTTTTATGGTAACATCTGACCACTCAGAGAACGTGGTCAAGCTGTCGAAGTGTTCGTACTACAAGCGGCTCGGCAATATGATGTCTGTGTTAGCCTGTGAGCAAGAGATGGGCTTCCATCTTCGAAGCATCAGGCAGGCCGACTACAGCACGCACTTGTTGACCTATACATTCATGAATGTTGGCGCAAGCTCTGCTTTTGCAGCCAGCGGCTGAGACAATGGCTCCTGCTGCGATGGATCTTTCAAAGAGTTTCCCGAGGTTCACGATGATCATAATGTTGGCCGAGCGGCCGGCCACCCAATTTGACTCGCGAGTTTTCGGTCACTCCAAGCTCACGCAGCACTCAAAGATGCTGTGCTTGTTATTTGCCGGAATTTGCCACCTGGCTTTAGAGGTCGTGCCTCCGGGGTCCATCAGAGAGTGTGGCCGGCTCAGAAACCAGATTCACTGAGCAGCGCAACTTGTCCGTTTCGCACTCGCGTCAAGGCTTTTGTCACTGCTCTGGGACCTGTGCCACTGGCACCAACAATCGGCTATACTGCACCCACATCAGTACGCGTTGAGCAGGCTAGCGACTAGATCTGATGTTCAGCCTTCACGAGCGCTCGCGCTGCTGCGTGGCGTGCGTACGGAAGACGATAACTTCGTGCTGTTTCACGGACATGCTCTGCTGCATCACAGCAATGATGTTTCCGCGCGGAAGATGTTGCGTTGCGTTCTAATGCCTGCTCACATGTTGGTTGCTTAAGTTTCGATACGTCGTCAGATTTCCGATTTCCTGCGACTCGGCTCCGAGGATCAGGTTCCAAGCAGCGCAGCAGGCGGTTGGAAGGCATATCCGTAGGCACAGAGCATTATGGCCGCGGCCACGGCCATGGGTTCCAGAGGTCTGCCTCTCTATGGCCGGACCTGTTTTGGCACTGGTTGTACAGTCCAGCCCACGACCCTCTTTGAAGATCTGGGATGTCAAGCGTGAACGCTGTGTTAATGAGGCTGCAGAGTGCGACTCCGCGAGCTACTCCTGGGCAAAAGCAGTTTCTGCCGATTTCACAACATGGGGTCTTCTAGTCTGCACGCAGAAATCGTTTCTGGAGCTGTGGGACATGAGGAGGCTCCGGCATCCTGTGGCGATAAGTGCGCCGAATGTGGGTGGAACCTCGAGGGCCTTAAGAGCTAACTTCCCATCCAAATTAGCCTTGTCATCTTCGTCCGACGGAGTGGTCCATGTTGCGACTTGGCCTAAGCTGAAATGGGTTGAAGATGGTTGACGTTTTTCTTTTTCCTGGCCGTGTCACACCCCCCTCAGGTTAACCTGAACGCCGACGGTGAGAGCCTGCATGCGCTGAAGAGCCTCCCAGGGCACATGGATGAGGTGGCCTGGGCATTTGTAGACTGGGGAAGCGAGCGCAACGAAGCCATTCGGGCTTGCACTATCTCAGTGGAACGAGACGTTTTGTTCTGGGACGTAGCTTGGTCCCAGTTGCGGCTTCTGCCGGAGGAGGTGGCCGAGAGATCCGAGAGCGATGAGGAGAAGGGGCATCCATTCTGGCATCCCCGACGGCTTACCAAGGGTCATCAGTATCGAGCACGGGTGGCGGCTTACGATGCCACAGCCCGACACCACCAGATCAGCGCGCTGACGGGTTCTGCTGATGGGCTGGTTCATTGTTGGAGTTTGGATGTTATGGATCATGACCATCTACACCAGTATTGCAGCCCGCTGGCTGGACATACGGATCAGGTGACAAGCCTTGCAGCAGACTTTGGCGGCGACCTGGCCCTGAGCGGTTCTTGTGACAAGACTCTACGCATGTGGAATCTCCGGGGCCAGTTCTGCGAAGGCGTGCTCAGGGGACACCAAGGCAGCATCCGGACCATGGTAGCAGACTGGACGCAGAAGAGAGCCATAAGCACTTCGATGGACAGTGTGCATGTCTGGGATTTGGGTCCGAAGGAGTCCAGGGATAGACGGCCTACGGCGACGCTTCAGGTACAGAGTGGCGTCTGTGAAACGCTGGCAGCATTCTCAGCTGGATCCGCAGCCTTCGTGAGCCGACTTGGCTGCATTGAGTTTTGGGACTTGGACCCCTCGGTCCGGATGTATTCGCTTCAATGCCACCCTGGCACCTTGTTTGCGGTTCACTTGGGACTCGCAGGCCAAGCCGAGGCTGTAAACGAGCATTGCGAGACTGAGACGGAGGACATGGCATCACTGGCATGGATGGGCACCTTGATGCCAGCATTGGCTGGATCTGGTGCAGCGGGATGGTCGAGAACAGTGCTTTAAGTTCGCCCGAAGTCACGTTGGAAATGTGCGCAGACTGTCAGCTGGGGACAATTGTGAGCTCGAGGACAAGATATCCTGATTCCAGAAGTAGAGGGCTGAGCATTGGGCCAAAGGCCAAGGAGAAGATGCTGCACGTCTAACTGGAGCTTCGCCTACGGGCAGCTTTTCATGGAGCTGCTGCCGAGCTGCCCGAAGAAGATACATTACGTGGAGAGTTTGCCACTTCGTTTTCTCTCAGATCATGGCTGAAGCGACTCGGTCCATGCTGAAAGGAGGGTTATCCTGTCTTGAGGCAGTGAGTCCCTGGAGTCTAGACCCTTCCGCCTTGTTCTTCAACATTTTCGTTAGCTACATGGGAAAACCATGCACATGCCTAGATCAGGTCTCAAAGCTTGAGCATTGTAGCCGTATAAATTCGTTGTTGCAAAGGGTTGGTTTCAAGCGTTGAGGTCTGAATGTCTATGTTCAGCTCGGATGCTGCTCCTTCTCAGCTCAAAGCACGGACTCATACAATGTTGACTCCAAGACGAATGCGTGGCCAACAAATCCTAGTCACATAGATTTGGTGCGTGCGCAGCTGGTGCCATGGCAACTGCCCCCTTGCCGCGCTGTGACAAGTGTGACAAGGTTTGCATCCAGGGCCGAGTATCCTGCACTTCCCAGACGTCTGCCCATACACTTTGCGCATGCCTGCCACACATGCCCGTGTCGCTGAAGAGCCTCGCGCTAGCGCTAGCACTGCAGCAACCCTAGCTTCAAGACGCCCTGTGGCAGGAGTTCGAGAAGCTGCTGCAATGTGGGAAGTGCAAAAAAGCTTTCTACTGTTCTCGAGAGTGTCAGACCGACGCCTGGAAGCGTCACAAGCTTCCTGGCGGCCTGGAGGCTTTTTCACTGACGATCCATGTTCGATGGCTGTGATTAGCTCAGGTAGTTTCGATAAGGGCAGATGTGTTGAGAATTTACTTTTCCTGCTGGGCAGTGCGTCGGCTATCTTTCTGCTCCTGCCACAGTTTCTCAGGAACATCTGCCGCAAGCCAGATGAGGAAGCAGCAGAGGCGACTTTGCAAGCCTGGCGTGTGTCTCAATCCGTCAAACCGGAGCCGAAGCCGAAGGCCCGACTTCTGTGAAAAGCAGAGAAGTTTGAAGCTGTGCTTCTCATCGGAGGCTACTGAAAGCTCGAGCCGACTGACCGTGCGCGCAGAAGACATGCAGGACGACGCCGCGTCGGAGTTTCAGCAATTAAGAAAGGAGCTTCTCAAGGATACTAAGGAGGCAAATGCGAGAATGATGTCCGCGATGCAAGCTTCCGGTGCTGATCCCATGTCCTTCCTTCCCGAGGCCAGGCCAGGTGTTTTTTTCAGGGCGAGGAGGGAGTGAGTCACACTACTTCATGCAAGCAGAAAGCGGAACTAAGACGAAGGTGAGGAAGCTGAAGGAGGAGTACCAACAGCTTCTTCTCGATCGTCTGCGATCTTGCACCTCGTACAAGTCAGCCGAGGACCCCTGGATGTCGCCATGAGCGCTAGCCAGAGCCAGTGGTCTTGTTCCGAGTCTCTCGGGGTCACGGCTGTGAAGGTCCAGTCGAGGAACAGCTGGACGTCAGTCATCGGCGTTTCCCAGAAAGGCGTAACTCAGCATGTCCCATTTGGCTCCCCAACAGCAGACGAGAGTGTGTCGCTTCCTGGAGATAGCAATATGTTTCCGCCGGATCTTTCTGCAACATGTTTCCGCCGGATCTTTCTTACGCTTCCTATATGGTGGGTCGATCGTTTTTCGGTTCCCAACACCCTTCCAAGGTTAGGTTGATCCGGTGGTTTGTTCAAGCGGGAACCAACTGGCGTGAAGCTAAAGCCAAGTCGTGGTTGACCAGGTCGTTGAAGTGCTGCACATGTAGTGGGTGTTTCCATTGTTTCGCATATTCTGGCCGATTGCGGCAAGATGCAGATTTCAGACAGCTTCATGAAATCATCATGTACTCTCCTGCTGTCTGCCCATGGAAACTCGAGCTCTTGGTGCTCACTGCGAGGACAGCTTTGCTGCTGCCACCAGGCTGGGGGAGGACTGCCGCCCTCAAAGGGCCTTAGCTCCTCTCCTGTCCTGCAGCGCAGGAGTTGATGAAAGAAGTCATCATGGCTTTGTTGCAGAGAGGGATGTCAACCTCCGCGAGCGTCGACCAGTCACCTATCCCAATATGTTCTGTGACTCTGAGTGCAGTTTCCATCGGACATGCCTGGGCAAACAAAGTGAAGGGTGCCAAGAGTCACCAACCTTAGGACATGATTTGCTTCATACGTCGCCAACTGAGGCTAGACCTGGCCAACAACCATTTCCGAGCAGGAGAGGGGACCAAAAGCTGAAGCATGTCGAGACTGACATGGGCATAGCGGCTTTGCCAATAGCTTCACGGTGACATGCAGTGACGTGCATGAGGAATTCTGCAACAGAATCCTCCGGAAGCCTTTGCTCTCCAAGAGGGCGATCTTGACGGCTTTGAGCCTGCGGTGTGAGGCTTGGCTTCTGTCTATGTCTTGGCTCGAAGCATGCGAAGACGCAGTGCATGAGGAAACGTTGCGTAACCGGCCTTTGGGAGTCTTCATCACTGAATTGAATTTGCAACAGCTAGCAAGAAGGGAAGGACTCCGGGTGACGGTTCGGCTATTGGTACACTGACCATCAGACTGCCAGCCCCGTTTGTCACCGTCGTCGGCTGCAGTCACCAGTGAACTTGGATGCAACCTTCATGTGTGCTTCTCTTGCCGAGGTCTTGCGTGTGGCTGAGAAGGGCTTCGTGACGGTGGAGGGCCTTCTGGACGAGGATCTCGCTCGGACCATATCCGAGGAGTGCCTCTGAAAAAGTCGATGCCAATACTCGCGAGCTGTTTTGGCTCGCTACCCTGCTCTCTTGTCGCAGTCTGGCCGTTGCCTCTCCACAGCCTGCCTTGACGCTGGAGGAATGTGAGAGCATTTTCTGGAAGGGCCGGAATGACGGTTCAATGAGCATTGCCCAGGCACGGTGTTGAGGAATCATGTCGATGTTGAGAACCATCCTGATTAGCAGGTCGTTGATTCAATCTTATGCCTTGTGCAGAGGCTCCGGCGGAAGGTGTCTTCGAGTGTTGGATACCTTATCCGTCCCGGAGATGGATGTCGGCAGAATTTCAGTTTCTCGGCTTTTCAATGATATGTTTTCTCAGGGTTTGAGACAGTGTCTGCTACTCGAGCAAGGCATGCTTTGCGGATTCTTTTCGGACTCCCGCACGAGTTTTGTCGGCACAACTACGGGGCGAAGCTCAAAGTACCAACCATGGCCCACCTTGCGGGCGTACCAGCAGGAGACAGCAACAAAACAGTCCTTGCATGGTCAAAAGCCTTGCCTCCCTGAAGGAGCCAAAGAGGCCATCCACCTCGATTTCGCTGGCGCTGGCAGCTCTGGGCGAGAATTAACCTTCTCTTTGTTCTTGACACACCAGTGGACCGTGGAGGACCAAGCACGGCAGTTAATCGAGATTCTCGTCATTCGTCGAAGCAGACTTGGCTTGTCAGCCAGCATCGCTGTGATGTGGCAGAATTGACAGGACGGTGGGGCCTTGAGAGCCTATGTTGACGGAGATGACAAAGTTCTCTCCTGCCCAGCTGGCAACGAAGAGGCCCACTCTGATCTCCGCCACGTAACACCGAGCCAGAACAGCGTCGCCTTGAATTGGAATGTCTGGATTTGTAGCAATGTGTCACGAGCTGTCGTACTCGTCGAGTGAAACTTGGTTTTCGTTGAGACACAACGAGTGAATGCTTGTCCTCAAGCCGTCTGAACCAGGTGCTCTCTTCACACATGTCAAGGCCAGATGCTGAGCGAGAAGGTGGGAAAGCACTAGTGCAGCTGCACACACTGCTGAGATCATTCATTGTGGGAAGACCAGCATGCAGTACTACAACCGATGTTGGACAGGATCTTCAGACAGAGGCAACACGATTTTCAAGGCAGCTTCAGCCCTTTCGCTCCGTGAAAGCATCTTCGAAGAAGACACTGTTGTGACAAGACATGGGGACTTGCCAGGATGTCTTTCCAGAAGTCGGCCGCTGCCTCGTCTTCCAATCCAAACGTCTCTGGCACGAGATCCGACCTCCCAACAAGACACTCTGGGTCTCAAGGCAGCACAAGGCAAGTTCTGCAAGCATCGCCCCCGGGTTTGTTCCTGGGTGCTTTTCCTGCCTCTGAGGTTCTAACACTGTTCGCATATGCCGAATAGATCGCTCTCGGGAAAACGACTTGCGACCTTGAATATTGGATAAAATCCATCGAGGATTTTACAAGAAAAATGAGACAATATAAATCCGATAAATAAAAAGATTTGAGATAATCGGAATTTCGTGAACCATAACAAGATAAATCGCAAAAAACCGGATCGAATAAGATACTATGAGATGAGATATGAAATATCGATACAAGGGGCGGATCTTCACAAATAAATGAATAAATACAAATAATAATATATATATATATAATATATATATATATATATTAGACGAAGAATAGAAAATATAATAGAATTAACTTTAATTGAAAAATAAAATCTTAAAAATATATCAAGATTATATATATATATACAAAAGATATTTTTAAAAAAAATATTGAATACGAGGCTCTGGAAGCTAAAAATAAACGATTAATTTTTAGAATTTTCAATATGAATCTCTAAAAATTTGACCAAAGAAAATTTGATAATATATAGATTTCAGAAGATATAATAATAATTTTGATTCATTTTCTGACCAATAGCTATAAATAAATATCGATCGAATTTAAAGATGATAACTATTGTAACCCTATAAATATTAGATGAAAATATGAGATATATATATATATACATTTATATAAGAGATTTTGTACTAATTTAATATTATATATATAACATCGCTTTATTTTATCGTGGAGTCACATAACCTTTTGCAATTTAATGAAAAATATAGAATGAAGACGGAATTGCTTTAGGTATTCTCGAGACTTTTTAAGATTATTGTATTTATTTTTTATTGTGCCTACAAGATTGGAAAGCTATAATTCGTAGTGTCCGCCCGCAATTTCGTGGCATCCTCGTAAGTCTCCCTAGAACTGGGGCGGAGCCGGAAGCGAATTTTGGCTGATTTGGGTAGTGTGGGTTTGAAGAAGATCTTAAGAGAAAATCGAAAGCAACTTTAAAATTTTATGTGTGCAAACAAAGCACTTTACCGTCTGGGCTGGGCGCTGAGGAATCCTTGCCTCTTAGATTGGTGGTTCTGGAGCAGGAACTTGATCCGTAGTTTTAGGAGCAAGTTGATGGTTGTGCGGCAGAGGTTGGAGCAGGTGTTCGGGTTAATCTTTGGGAAGGTGGTAGCCGCGACCCAGAGGGCGGCCGAGGCGATAGAGAAGCAAGTAATAGCAAATAAGACGGAGGGTATCACGAAGGTCTTCAAGTTCGAGGCGTGGAAGTTTCAATTCCGGGAGGAAGAATCTAAATCCTGGAGAGAGTGGAGATTTTAGCTGAGCACATGGCTGATAGTTCACGACGACGAGTATGAGGGCGTCCTGGAAGACATCTTTATGGATATAGCCGTGGACTAAGCATTGCTAGATGGGCCGGCGGGGGTAAGGTCCCAAAAGCTTTTCGAAATATTGTATAATGTGTCGTGCAACCGTCCCCTCTGATTGGGAGGGCCCTGGAGAAAGAGAAGAATGATTTTGAATATATTTGCCTGCTGTGATGGGAGATGAAATATACAATAAAGAATGGAAGCTACTCGTCGAAGATTGTCAAGGACAAGTTCCAGGATCCGTCTTCTTTATGATTTCCTCGATTTCCTCCACAGTCGACTGACGAGTGTCCCCATTATGGCGATCTCGCTCTTGCTAACGGTCCCGTTCTCGTCGAGATCAAAAGTTTGGAACTGGAATTTTCGGGCGAGCTCTGTCGTGGATAAGTCTAATATAGTATTTTTGAGGACAATCAGGATTTGTGACTCCCGTCGCTGCCATCGCTTGGCGTATAGATTGCCGTCTTCAAAGCACCTGTAATCTGATTAGTGCAAATTAGATGATATAAAATTATTTCAATTCACTTGCCCCTCACCCCGTGACGTGATATCTCATGACCCTGTTGGATCGCTAATGATATTAATGGTGTGCCTATATTCCATGTAGTTGTGTAGTCACGTCTATAACAACGCCGTGTCGTGATGCTTCATCTCCATGGGCCGACCTTGCTTGCAGAAACCAAAAGGCTGCCCTGAAGAATTCTCGTCTTTGTCTACGAGAGACAACGGCGTCGTGTCCGTGGCTCCTTCCAGATATTTGCCTGTGTCCACGTGCTCAAAGAAAACGTCGTCACCGTGCTTGCACACGGTATTAATTCCATCTTTTCGCCAAATACGGAAGACACAGGAACCTTTGAATTCCTTGTCTTTAGCAGACACAGTCCCGTCGTTTTTGCCTTCGATAGTAGCCTCTGAGTATGTAACAAGTAAATAAATGTGGTCGCCACCTTTAATCTGTGGCGGTACTATAATCGTATCGAAGCGAACGAAAGACAAGAATCTAGCTCCCTTCCGTCGCACCGGATCACCTGAGCAGGGGCTGGCGTTGACAGATTCAAAGAAGGAAAGGCGAGAAAAGATAAAAATGTGCCTCCCGCCTTCGTGGGCTCGGAAGGCTTGATTGGCCACGAGGAAGCCAGCCCCGCCTTCCCCCTTCATTTCTTGATACTTGGCCGCCACAGGGGCTTGGGGATCCGGCGTATCTTACAGAATGACATTAAGAGATTCTTTATTTGAAATAAAATCCATGTAGAGTAGACTGAGTGGAGGAGACCCAATTATAAATATTTTGGAAGAAATAAAAATCAAGAAATAAAGGTTGAAGCGGACCATGTACAGAAGAAATACCGCTACCCATTATTGGCACTTCTTGAGGCAACTTGATATCAATACACATAACGAATACAACTCTCAAATCTCGCACGAGGGCATATAATGCCAAAGGGCACACGCCCAGACAGACCTCGGACGTCCCCGCAGCGCCTAGAAAGATTCCCAGACGTGCCCCAGACACGCCTAGACTTGGCACAGTCCAAACGGACAAAGAGATTTTATCCCAATTAACACAAATCTACGTATAATGTCTTCATATTATATGGCCGCTGCATACGCTCCAACCTCTCGGCGGCTAAGCGTACTTAATCAGCTCGTTACCATCGAAATCTCGATATCGTGAGCGACACATAAAGCCTAACAAGACGAAGTGGAAACTCGACGAAGCCCGGGCCCAACACCGTCGAGGAGATTGTAGAATGAATTAACGGGAATTTCGAAATAGGCCCCCATACAACTCTGGCCAAGATATTTATCTTATTTATCATTATTTATTATATCCAATATAAAATTAAAGATAAAGAAAATTCATTTATTATATCCATAGAAAATTCTAATTTAAAAATCAAGATAAATTGATCTAACGCTATATTTATATTCCTAAATATTTCTCCATCCTTCAAGACCTAGAATATTTTTCGCTATACATGCCCGGTAATAAAGTTT